AATGTTATTTTAGACTATTGCTTTTTCTTTTAATCTATCCCTGTAAATGAAATGAAAGAGTTGCAGCTTACAACAAATACAATAAAAGATTTTCACCTTTTGATTATTAAAAGTTTTTTTTTATTATATAAACTTGACATTATAATAGTATATTTAGGAGTGAGTATATGGATTTAAGTCGGCAAAGCTTGTAACCTGCACGATTAATGAACTTGTTTTTAAAAATTTACATAATTATAAGAGAAATTAAGTATAGTTCACGAAGTTCCCGAATTTTGCAAACTTAATCCACATATCTCATGGATTGACTTGTTTTAAAAAATTCTTTTTACCAGCTTTATAATATGAGGGATTTAAAAATATGAGTAATTTTAGTATTTTGTTAATAAATAAATATGAATAATAAGTATTAACTTTAGTATATTTTTTATTTAAAATATACTGTACTTATGTTACCTTAATCATTTTATATTTTTTATGAAAGCATGAATTATATGCACTTTGTGACGTGTGTACGTCGACGCCGAAAAGATTGCTCATGAAGTCCCCTATTGGAGTTGTTGTTGATGGTGGTGTGTACATGAATTGTTCATGGTGCATATGAAATGATTGATAAGACTAAGGATGTTGTGGAATAAGGTGGGTGATGATCTCCAGCCATTGGGAATGTTGTTGTAGTTGTTGTTGGGAGTTGCGTACTAGAAGTGGATGCATGAGATGAAGAATACTAGCTACAAAAAAATAATTTAGAATTAGCACGAAACCATTGTAAAGACTCCGGAGTGTGTTGGAGAGGCCCTTGAAGTGGTTCCCCAAAAATAACATGTTTGCGCCTGTCTTTCCAAATGGAAATGCAGTCTGCATGTTGTTGAGCCCAGTTGGTGTCGGTATGTCCTCTCATAGTACTACATCAATATTATATAATTAAGTTTAATAATTTTTGTTTGTGTGATTTTAATTATATAATATTGATGTAGTAGTATACGATTATTTTGTTTAGGATTTAATTGATTATTCGTTATTTAGGGGTTTACGATATTTATTATTTAAGTTTTATGTACGTATTTCTTGATTTTGTATAATTTTAGAATGCCTCGTAAAAGAGTTAATCTGGGACCCATTGATGATTCCTTACTGACTATGCAATCAATTCACGTGTCTGAGCACATATGGAATGGTGAGGCTGATAGAGTTCTTCGTATTAGAAGAGCTACCAAAAGTGGTCATCGAGATGGGTCAATTCTCAACGAATTAAGACCGTACTTGCACGAGCAGGGATGCTGGGAGTGACAGAAATCTCATACTTTCCTATTGACCACCAGTTAATTTCAGCAATAGTTGAGAGATGGAGACCAGAAACACACACTTTTCACATGACATTTGGAGAGTGTACAATTACATTGGAAGATGTTTCAGTTTTTCTAGGTCAAAAGGTACATGGAGACCCAATTACTGGTTGTTCGACATATAGATGAGTCATACTTGTTGAAGATTTGTTTGGAATAACACCACTACCAAATGCAATTAAAGGTGGAAGGTTGAAGATGAGCTGGGTTGATGAACATTTTTTTGATGTTTCGATGCATGTGCACAACATTGAACAAATGGAACGATATACCCGAGCTTATATTTTGTGGTTGCTTGGAGGTATGCTTTTCTCTGACAAGTCTTCAACTCTAGTACCAATGCGATATTTGGTGATGTTAATATATTTAGACCAATGTGGAAAACTTAGTTGGGAATCAGCATTGCTTGCTCATTTATATAGAGAACTGTGTGTTGCCACTAATTATGACAATAAAGAAATTAGTGGGGCATGCATTTTACTGCAATTGTGGGCATGGTATTGGATGTTGTATTTTGCACCCTTCACGGCACCACGAAATATTTTTGGTGTTCCTTTAGGTGCAAGGTAATATTTTAATTTAAATTGTGTTATTAAATATTAGATTTAACATTAGACAAATAATTTTAATTAACTTGTTAATTTTTCATATTTTTAGGTGGAATAATGCCTTGCAGGTGACACAAAGAACTGTTGTTCAGATTCACGATGTGTTAGATAAGATGAAAGATAAAGATGTACATTGAGAGTTGTTGTTGATTACAAATTAAAAGTGGATATCTTCAAATTAGTATTCATTTATGACTTTTTGTTTTTTTTTATTTGCAGTTTGTTTGACAGCCATACCTTCAATATTTTCATTCTCTACCACCATATTGTGTAGAGAACACAAATATTTGGAGGGCAGTAGTGCCATTAACTGACTTTCATACTATTGAGTATCACCATGCTGACTATGTGATGCGCTAGTTTGGCATGGTACAACACATTCCTCGTCCTCCACGTCAACCAGATAATTTGCATGATCTAACTCTACGCGACAAAGATGACATTGATTGGCGAGTTCAGCATGCTGTCTTTCTACACGAGTGCGAAACAAGGTTAGATCATGTTTGGATACAAGAAGCTTGTACTACTATACATTTAAGTAGTAGTTCAGAGTACATGGTGTGGTATAAAAGACACACCAGATTTTGGATTGGGCCTATTACTGCAAAACAAGGTTTTGTGGTAAGTAACATATAACAATAAATATTTTATAATTAATTGTTTCGGTTGTTTATATTTGTATTTTATATTAAGTTGAACATGTACAAATAACAATATTTTGATTTACAAGAGGACACTATTGAGGAAATGTATCATAAGGCTAAAACAGAACCTAAAAGCAGTTTTTCAATGCAAGAATTGACTGATAATCTTGCTAACTATTTAGAGGTGAATTCCACCGACTTCAGTATCCCTCTACAGGTGCTCCACCACCATCACAAGATGAGCTCGAACCAATTATTGTGGAAGATATTGGTGCGGGGCGACAAGAGGGTCGTGGCCTTGGACGTCGACGCAGGCGTGTAGATCACCAGCCTGTAGATATATCTGTGCCATCACATGACCCCCCTGCAGGTAGTTATTATGCTTATCCAATGACACCATCAGGGGGTTATAGTCAGTATGTTTATACTTCAGGTGATACTACTGGAGAAAGTCCAACTTCTGCTACTTATGTTTCATCTCCATTTGATACACATTTACCACCTTCATCTGGTACCTATGTTCCTTCTCAAGCAACACAGACTGTAGATCCTTATACGAGCAACATGATGACCCTGTCAGCACCTTATTATCCATTTAGATATGGTGGAGATGATATGCATGGTACTTCTTTTGGAGGATCTTCTGTTCGACAACGTACATCTATTGAACAGTCTAGTTTTGGACAACCTACTTCTATTGGACAGTCTACTTTTCAACAACCAGGTTTTGGACAACCTACTTCTATTAGACAGTCTGCTTTTCAACAACCAGGTTTTGGACAATCGACGCCTGCTACAGAAGAAGTAGAAGAGGAGGACCCTGTAAGAAGGAACCCAGATCGGGGTGCTAGGCATCATGGTCGTCAATGTATTTTGTCACCTCATGATCCGATAGATCCACGATGGAGGTGTAGAAGATGATTAATTTGTATATGTTATATTTTTGTGTTTTTAGGACATTCAATTATGTAATGAATTAAAATTTTTAATCCATGTTCAGTCATTATTGTCTTTAATAGTCATACACCAATAAGTTAAAATAATTCATACTTAATTAGACAGAAGAACAAATACTTAAAATATCACACATGATTGAATATTACATGATGAAAACTCCATTTAGCCATTAATGATTTAGGTCATCAATGATATTTGATGCTAGTTGCGGACAGTTTGTTCTATTATGACCTTCAACCCTACAATGTGCACAACGTTGTCTTTGTTGTGACTCTGTCCAATCCATTTCATTTCTTATACGCGTTGATTTCAGACGGCCTTTACCACGCAACATACTTTGGTCAGGGACCATGTGAGGTCCGTTGATAGGATGAATGTTGTCATCATTGCCAAGCGAGTACCATTGGCCAGAATATGCCTCTTTGATATATGCATTTGAATAGGCAGCATCAACATAGGTCAAGGGATCTATGCGAACATAAGCACATGCAGCAATGGCATGTGAACATGGATATCTGTAAGCTTGAAAAGCTCCATACTCACATTTTCGTTCATTAAGAAGTACTGTCCAAGCATGACCACCTCTTCGTGTAACTGGATTAAAATCTTCTTCCACTTCGAATCTGGTGGCCTCATAGTCATATCTTCGAACAAAATGAGATGTTGCCTCCTCTTGGTTGTTCTGCATAGCATCCATTAACTTTGTACAATATCGTTGACCAACGACAAGCTCCGCATTTGCTTGACCTAACCTTTGCACAAAATACTCAACTAACCTAGCATATGTACACTTTACAAGAGCTGTTATTGGTAGGTTACGGGCGCCCTTTAAGATCTTGTTGATAGCCTCAAACAAATTTGTAGTCATGTGTCCGTATCTGCGACCTTGGTCATCATGGGCGAGACTCCATTTTTCTAACGAAATCCCATCAATCCATCGACGAATTTCTGGGCTTATCTCACGAAATTGTTCAAGCCTCCTAGTAAAGTTATGTTTGCAAGTTGTGTAGCCTGTCCAAATATTAACATTAGGTAATAGCATAACATATTATGTACTATAAAAACATAGAATGTAAGAAGGAAATAATATTTTACCCATGTGAATCAGCTCTTTTTTGAGTTTCACATTTTTAAATCGGTGGTTGGAATTGCTTGCAATGTGACGAATACAATACACATGATAGCCATACGGTGGTTGCCAACCATTATTTTCATTTGCCACAACTGATTTGATGCTTTGGTGTCGATATGATATTAAACAAATGTCTTGTTTTGTAGTTATATACCGATGAATGTTTCACATGAACCATGACCAATCACTTAATGTTTTACCGTCGACTACAGCAAAAGCAATTGGTAAAACGCGAGCATTACCATCTTGTGTTGTAGTGATTAATAGAGTGTCGCGATATTTTCCATATAAAAATGTTCCATCAATTTGTATGATGGGTTTTGTGCAGTTGAATGCATCACAAACAGGTTTGAATGTCCAAAACACACGGCGAAACCTGCGAAAATGTGCGTTGACGACATTATTTGATACATAATTTGTTGTCTCAAGTCTATAAGCAGAACCACCAACCTTTTTATCATGAAAACCAACCATCATTAGACGATTTTCATACACATGGATCATTTACCAACCTCCTTACATCTGGAGTCCAACAACAAGAACAACAGGAAGGAGTCCCTGAAGTTGGAGTTCCTGAAGAAGAAGTTGGTCCTTTCAGTGAGGGGGAAGATGATGCAAGACTCCAACAAGACGATGAACAAGATGAACAAGATCGTGTTGTACAACAATCTCAGCACGTAAGCACATTCAGTTTTCCTTCACACATGCATAATGTTGATTTGCAAACAGATTTCACCGACCCAGAGTATAGACATGCACTTGACCATGTTGACGTCGAGTACTCTCCTGACAGCCTATTTGAAGGCATGACTTTCAACACAAAGGAGGAAGTCCAACATGTTCTAAATGCATACCATATAAAGAAAGGTTTGTATTACAGGGTCGAGAAATCGTCACCAACATTAATTGTTGCACGCTGTGTTAACAGTACATGTGATTGGAGGTGCAGAGCGGCTTTTATTACTAAAAGCCAAAAATGGGAGCTTCGTAAGCTATCAGGTGAACATTCTTGTTCATCACCTATTATTACACAAGATCATGTTAACCTTGGCTATGTATATATTAGCAAAAGTATTCTTCCTTTGGTGGAGAGTGATCCATCCATTTCTATTCCAACAATAATAGCACACATCAAAAGTGCTGAAGGGTACACGATCTCATACCGCAAAGCTTGGATGGCAAAGCAAAAGGCAATTGAAGACTTACATGGTAACTGGGAACAATCTTACCATGATTTACCCAAGTTGCTTAGTGCCATGAGTGGATTTCTTAATGGATTTGTTGTTGAGAAGCAAACAAGGCCACTATACAACCAACAAGGTGAGATGGTTCATCATTATGTTCAATTCCATAGAGTATTTTGGACATTTAAACCTTGTATCGATGGGTTCAAATACTGCAAACCCATTGTTCAAGTTGATGGCACATTCTTGTATGGCAAATACAAAGGAACTCTCCTTGTGGCCGTGGCTCAAGACGGTAACAACAAAATCTTTCCAATTGCCTTTGCAATTGTTGAGGGTGAAACAGCAGAGGCATGGTTTTTCTTTCTACATTATCTCAAAAGACATGTTTGCCCTCAAGATGGCCTTTGCTTAATTTCGGACAGGCACGAGTCTATCAAAAATGCCTACGCTAGACAAGGCAGTGGTTGGACACCCGAGAATTCAGTGCATGTATTCTGTATTCGCCATATAGCTCAAAACTTCATGAGGCATTTCAAGAATACAGAACGGAAAAAATTAATCATCAATATGGGTATGTACTTAGCATCATTAATTACTTTAATTTGTTTCACCATATTTCAACATTACTAAATTGTTCATTTTTTCCTAATCTGATTTCACAGCTTATGGGATGACTGAGCCAAGATTCAATTACTACTACAACACGCTAAGGAGCGAACCAGAAACCGAAGGTGTAATTGAATGGCTCAACACCATACCAAAAGAACAATGGACTCTTGCATGGGACGGTGACCGACAATGGGGACACATGACTACCAACTTGGCTGAGGCAATTAACTCCATTCTTAAAAAAACAAGAAATTTGCCAATTTCTGCAATCATCATGTCGACTTATAAGAGATTTAATGCCTTATTCATCCAAGGGGGGAAGGAAGTCGATGCTAAACTTAGGGCTGGCCAAGTTTTTACGGAAATAATGAATAGGACCATGAGAGATGCATAATCAAAGGCTAATAGTCATCATGTCCTCGAATTTGATTGTCACAGTACACGTTTCCTGGTGCAAGAGACCATTAACCTAAGGGAAACACGACCTACTGGAACTTTCACGATTAGACTACATGACAAGTGGTGTGACTGTGGGAAATTCCAGAAGCTACACATGCCATGCTCCCATGTTGTTGCTGCATGTAAGCATGTTCACCACGATTATAAATCTTACATAGATCCGGTATACACATTACAATATGATTCAAATGTGTATAACGAATTATTTGGTGAATTGCCCAATGAATCTTATTGGCCAGATTGTGAAGAACCGCAAATCATACCAAATCCGGAAAAGATTATAAATAAAAAAGGTCGTCCAAAGTCATCAAGAATTTGCACTGAAATGGATATGGTTGAACCAGAACAACCAAAAAGATGTTCTCTTTGCAGAAATGTAGGTCACTCAAAGAAAAAATGTCCTTACCGTCAAGGGAGTTAAAGTCATCAAGCTTAAAATGTCATCAAACCTTCCAAATATTGTATTTTGTTTTCTGGTATTTTATATAAATATTTTATCTTTTGTTAAAATTTTTAATTAATATTTATTTCATTATTTATTTAATTAATAATTATTTCATTATTTATTTTTATTCTAAAAACTTAACTAAATTATTTTATTTGAAAATACTAAAAAACTTTAAAAAACTGAATATTTAAAATTAATATACGAAAATGAAAAAATTAGAAATCTGAATAAACAAAATCAAAAATAAATAATTAAAAAAAAAAACAAAAACCAAAAACGAAAGAAAAAAACAAAAAACAAAAATGAAAAACGAAAAAAAAACAAAAACCAAAAACGAAAAAAAAAAATAAAGGCTGTTGAGAAATCGGTTTCTTATCAACCGATTTCTCATAATGCCTATATATGTTTTATAAAAACTAAGGGTGAGAAATCGGTTCCCCCCAACTAATTTCTCACCTTAAATAGTAAATGAGTCATTTTGATAAATAAAATGGGGGTGAGGTTATTTAGAAAAATAAAAAAAAATTGATATATTAAAAAAAAAGTCAAGTATTGCCCCCACGATCTAAAATTTCTAGATCCGTCACTTACTATAATCATCAATTTTGTGTTTGACATTTTGGAACCAGAACGTCCCGTTCTGAAACCAGAACGTCCCGTTCTGAAACCAGAACGGCTCGTTCTGGTTGCACTCTTAATGTGTTAATTTTGCATCCGGAACAACCCGTTTCAGGTACAAAATCAACACACCAAGTGTGCAATCAGAACGGGTCGTTCTGGCTCCAGATGCATTAAAAAAATTTGACATTCACGTGTGCATCCATGTAGCATCCACGTGGCCAACAGTTAACTTCATCTAAATAATTTGGACAGAAGTTCAACATTGCAATAATTTAAATTATTGGGGATCAAATTGAAACCAAAATTAAAGTGGAACTAAATTGAAACAAATGAATATTATAAGAGACTAAATTAAGATTTTAACCTTATTTCTATTAATTAATATTTATTTTTCTTCTAAAGAATTAGGATGTATGTTTATTAAAAAAATTATATTAATATATTTTGTTAAATTAAGATAATGTACTTTAATTAAAATCATTTTAATTTAAAAATAATTATATAAAGAATTAAATGTTTTAGGTAATTTGCAACCCAAAAATAACGAAAGTTGTTGGGGGTAATAATTGATATGTAACTAATTTTACTAATGTTAAATTAGTTAGTAGTTGGGTAGATGAGGATGAATAAAATGTTGTTGGTAACAGTTGTGGAGGATCTCGTGCTTACACAAGCCTCACTCACTATAAATTAAAACGTAACAACCACAGTTCTTCATTTCTCGTCGTCTTCTTCTTCTAGACTCTTCTCTTTCTCTTCTCACTCTAAGGGGGTGCCCTGAGGTATGCTCAGTTAATTATATCGGAATCGAAAGTTTCGAAAGAGTTTGTAGGATCTTTGTGTTTAGATTGCCATGTAACTCAGTTAACTCGGCTGTGCGGTTACATCACTCCTAAAAAAAAAGTCGTACATTCACCTTTTGATCTTTACTATTTAAATATGATCTGACGGTCTATATTTACCAATAATTCTCACTTGATACTATTCTAGTGAGCTTGTGCATGTCTTGCATATTTTGCTTTAAATAGCTGTTTTGTTGTTCAGATCACATTGAGCAATGGTGAAGGCTGTGGCAGTTCTTGGCAACAGTACTGAGGGTGTCAATGGAAAAATTTTCTTCACTCAGGAGGGAAATGGTAAGTTTCAACAGAGAATTTTGTTTTGTTTTGTTTTCATTGGATTAAGCTAAATGAAGTAACATATATTGTGAATTGTCCAGGCCTAACCACTGTAACTGGATTTGTTACTGGTCTTTCGCCCGGTTTTCATGGCTTCCATATACACGCCTTGGGGGACACTACCAATGGTTGTCTGTCAACTTGTATAGTCTTTGGACAATAACCCGAATCATTTTTTTTTTAATAATCTGAAGCATTAATGAGCTGGAACAAAAATAAACACACACTTTGCTTTAATTTAAAGAAGGGTCTAGCTAACCAGGGCCCTTGAGGCATTGGTTAAGGAATCACACGTGGTAAGTTTTCATTGAAAACTACAATAAAGCTACATGGAAGAATGTGCAGATACATCTTTTAATATAAATTTTCTACCTTTCTTAGTTAGCATTTCCCTTTAAAGATTCTTCAATGTGCCAAGCAATACAATCTGTTATAAAGCTGTTGGATTGTGAAATCTTATCATTTACTAGTATATTACGAGGCTCAATCTCTTGGTTTTTTTCCATGCTTACAGGAGAACATTTCGATCCTATTGGCAAGGTGCATGGTGGCCCTACGGATGTCAATCGCCATGCTGGTGATCTAGGGAATCTCGATGTCGCTGGTGATGGTATGGCTTATAACTTTGTTTTTTGTTTAATTTGTTTGTTTTGTATTAGTTACTCAAACTGAAATAACCAAAAGCAATTTATTCATCCGATTACAAATTTTAGATTTCTTATTATTTATACATTTCCTGTGTTAAAAAAAGAAAACTTTTAGCATTACAAAGAGGTGTTTGATTACATAGTTAACAGATAGGCTGGAGGTTATACAAGGAACTTTTCCATGTTTTGGAAAGATTGTTGGTAATCAAGATTTCTTTCTTTCTAGTTTGCTGATAGTTCATCTTTTGAAAGAGCTTGTTTATTTGGCCTATCGTACCACATGCTTGTTTGGTCTTTATTTTAAAATGGTTCCCTCTCATTGTGAAACTCAGGAAAAGTCAGCTTCTCTATTACTGTCAGTCAGGTATGTTATTCATCTCCTAATCAATATGTCTGATGAATTCTTCTAGGCTGACACCAATACTTAGAAGTTTCAATTTTTATTAAGTTATTGAATGTGCACAGATTCCTCTCACTGGACCAAACTCCATCATTGGAAGGGCTGTTGTTGTCCATGCTGGGCCTGATGATCTTGGGAAAGGTATCCACTGATCTGTTTTTATTACTTAGCATTTGAGTCATTGATCCTCTATTTATGATATTCTGTATTCTTTTTGGATTTGGATCATTTCATCTTAGTAAAGAACATGATATTGTCCTGTTAGGAAAGAAAAATTAATAGTAAATCTCATTATATTTATGTACGACCCATCAACTTGAATTGTGTCTTGTGTTAGGTGGCAACGAGGAGAGCAAGCGTTCTGGAAATGCCGGTGCCAGAGTAGCTTGTGGTAAGCGTAGACTGTGACATCAAATGCCGTATTTTCTGACGTTCCTTATTTCCCATGCAATATCAATTTTTGATGTGGTTGTGATGCCACAAATTAAACTTACCAAAGATCTTTATAAAGACTAAATATTTGACCGCCTTTGTCAGCTGTTTAGAATCTATATTGTCTCGTCACTCTCGTGGATGCTTTCACTTCCTCCGTTGTCGAGATTTTGTTGTTTGCTTATGTTGATTGTACTGATATCCTCTTTTTGCCGTTTGTTGGTGTAGGTATCATTGGTCTGCAAGGATAAACTAATCACATGAAGTTGAAAACGTGCTTGATCATACGACGGAGCTTTAGAATTGTGGAATAAAGTAGCTCCTATTTAAACCCGTTTGGTTATGTCTGGTCTGTACTGCTGAATTCCTGTGTTTTGCTTGTATCGTTTGAGGATTATGTGTGTATCAGTTTGCGCTTGCAGTGTGATTCTCGAAAAATGTGTTGGCCTTTTCTCGGCTGCATACTGTTGCTTGTAAAATAATAAGTCAATTCTCAATAATCTTAGCTTAAAAGAAGAAATTTTACAATTCTCGCGTAAGTGGCATTGCCATTACCTGCACAGGAAATTTACTGTAGTAGTGACGCGTACCTTGGCTATAAAATTAAAGACCCCTGTTTGCAATTTCTTTGGAAAGCTATAAGCCAGTAATGGGAACGGACTTTTGTAAAATTTTTATATAATCTTATTTTAAAATTTTGTATATATTTTAATATAATTATACAAATTTTGATAGTCTTGCATATCTAATCTAAATTCTCGGACCTGTTAAAATTCCACGAAACATCAATATATTTTTTTAACATTATCTTAGACCTTGAGGTTGATTTGGCTTTCAAAATACACAGCAGTTTTTCCTACTCGGAAAAGAATATTTTTCAACATTCATCATATTTAAATTGTTAATTTTTAAAGTTATAACTATTAAAATTTTATTTTTCATCCTAAAAGTGTTGAATTGACCTTTTTACATTAAATATAATTTTTTTTATATCAAATACGAGTTTTTATCGTATGAAAAAATATTTAGAAATTCTTTTAGAGAATATTTATAAATTTTTATCAATAAATAAAAATAATATAAAAATAATAGTGTATAATTGTTAGGGCTACTCGAAAACCAGGCAAAATCGAAAGATACCCTTATGATGCTACTCGAGAGAAAGATAAAAACTCAACACCTACTTGGAACGTATGAGTCTTATTTATG